GGGACGGTGGGGATGTCCCCCAGGTGAGGGCTGGGGGCACCCTGGGGTGGGTTTGGGATCCCCCCACCCCATGATGCGTCCCCCCTCCCCATCACCCTGCAGTGAAGGTGAAGAAGCCGATCCAGACCAAGTTTCGCATGCCCGTCTTCAACTGGGTGGCACTGAAGCCAAGCCAGATCGATGGCACCGTCTTCACCGAGCTCAATGACGAGAAGGTGCTGCAGGTGAGGACACGGGGGATTCCGGGGGTCCGGGCGCAGCGTGTCAGCTGAGCCAGCACCCCGGTCCACGCCGCACCTGCGCTGAGGTTGCCCCGCGTGCCCACCTTGCACCCATCTGTGGTGTCATGTGGCTGCTGCAGGAGCTGGAGGCTGGAGCAGCTCCTTGGCGCCATGGAGAGGGACAACATGGGATCTGCCGTCCTCCTTCACTCCGTCCTTTTCCCCTCGCTCCATCCTCATCCTCACATCCTGTCCATGTCTTCTTCCTCATCTTCATCCTCTGGTCCCCTCATCCCTGCCTTACCCCCTCCCTGTTCCCTTGTCCTTGTCCCCTTGCTCCATCCTCATCCCTTCAACTTGACCTCATCCCCTTGCTCCACCTTCATCCTCTCACTCCTCTCCCCCTTGTCCCAGTCCTCTGGCCCCATCCTTGTCCCCAGTGTCCTGCATCACCTCCCGGCTGTGCCCTCAGCCCTGTCTCTCCACAGGAGCTGGACATGAGTGACTTTGAGGAGCAGTTCAAGACCAAGGCGCAGGGCCCCGCCTTGGACATCAGTGCCCTCAAGGTGAAGGCCACGCAGAAGACTCCCAACAAGGTCACCCTCATGGAGTCCAACCGAGCCAAGAACCTGGCCATTACCCTCCGCAAGGGTGGCCGCAGCATCCAGGACATCTGCACGGCCATCGAGACGTGAGTGTCCTCTCTTTGATGGGAGAAGGTCGGGAGAAGGTCAGGTGCGAGCCCCGCTATGACAAAGGGTCGGTATGGTGTGGGGTGTGCTGAGACTGGAGGAGCAATGGCATCAGCTGTGGGGATGCAGGGACCACATACGGGGAGATGGAGGGATGCAGGGACCAGATGTGGGAATGGAGGAAGACGGGAACCAGCCACGGATGATGGCGGGGCTTGAGGGACCTGCTGCAGGGTCTGACTGTGCTGGGGGTTTCCACCACCCGCAGGTATGACCAGCAAGCCCTGAGCCTCGACTTTCTGGAGCTGCTGCTGCGCTTCCTGCCCACTGAGTACGAGCGGACGCTCATCGGGAAGTTCGAGCGGGAGCAGCAGCCGCCGGAGGAGCTCTCGGATGAGGACCAGTTCATGATCCGCTTCAGCAAGATCCCACGCCTGGCTGAGCACATGAACGTCATGATCTTCCTGGGCAACTTCAATGACACGGCCCAGCTGCTCATGCCGGTGGGTGTCGGGGACACACACGGGGTGGCTGCGGGTGGTGTGCAAGGGGGTGGCATCTTGCAGCGAGACTCACACGCTTCTCCTCCCGCCCACAGCAACTCAACGCCATCATCGCTGCCTCTATGTCCCTCAAGTCCTCCAGCAAACTGCGCAACATCCTCGAGGTGAGGAGTGTGGGGTGCAGTGGCCCTGGTGGGGGGACGGGCGCATGCAGGGTGCTGCCAGGGTGCCCCATCTGTGCCGGGTTGTGTGCCTGAGCCGTTGTGTCTCCGCAGATTGTCTTGGCCTTCGGGAACTACATGAACAGCAGCAAGCGCGGGGCAGCCTACGGCTTCCGGCTGCAGAGCCTCGATGCGGTAGGGTCGGCGCGGGGCTGCCCCGGGGGGACACAGGGACCAGCTGTAGAGATGGAGAAACCTGGGAACCTGCTGTGGGGATGGAAGGACGCAATATAGGTCCTATAGCTATAGGGCTGGAGGGACACAGGATTAGCTGTGGAGGGATGCAGGGACCATCTATAGGGTTTGGAGAGGCATGGGGAGCAGCTATAGGGATGGAGGTATGCAAGAACCAGCCGTGGGTTGGAGGGGTGCAGAGACCAGAGATGGAGGGATGGAGGGAAGCAAGAACCAGCCGTGGGGATGAAGGAAGACGG